AACAATTATTCCACTCGCGCTTGTTGGATATGAGATGATCATAGCCAACTCGGCGCTAAGCGCCTCTATGGCTACCTTACCATCTCATATCCAACGCGCACTTGTGGAATAATTATTGTTAATTACAAATCCGAAGTTAACGTACACCTAATTGCAATAACGTTGTCATAGAAAAAAGCAAAAAGCAGAAAGCCAAATAGGAATTAATTAGCCATGTGATTTACATTTGCGTATTTTAATAATTTAACAATTATTTAAGAAGTCATTCACAATAACAAGAAATAATTCTGTAATTCCGCGCTGTAAGATTCCGCACATGAAACACTGATGTGTGTAACAAAAGGGTCCTGACAAACGAAGCTTGGTTTGTGGCGCGGGAGAGGAACTGGGGCAGGAACGCCTCACCCTCTCCGCGATGGAAAGTCCTGCCTACATCCCTGTTTTGTTGCTTGAAAATTGTGATCTGATGGTGTTGTGCACTACAAACCATACGCAGACTGGCTTTTCTATTTAGCATTAAACGAAAAGACGCGTCGCGTTCCTGGAATTTACCCCAGGCTATATTTATTGAAAAAAAAATGGAGCCATTTTTTCTTTAGTAGTTATCCGATGTACGTTTGTAATTAGAGCACGTTTGAAATCCGCTAGATGAATCAGCCTCGAATTGCATTAGAATGACACCAAGAAACTGATGCAAATGATTTAGCTTTCATATTACGTGATTAATATTCAGCTATAAGCGTGTGTGTCGTGAATGTTGCAAGCAATGATAATTTAATGATAATTTAATGCTAATTAATTCCTATTTGGCTTCTTGTTTTTTTCTATGACAACCTTATTGCAATTAGGTGTATCTAATTTAATGACCGTTTGTCAATATCAGTCGACGAGGCGTTATCGGCTCAACCTTAAGAACTTATTACCCCTGAAACATCTAGTCATTGTCTAGGCGAGCTAACGTAAACATCATGACGCGCTTCAGGGTAATCAAACTTGTCGGGATATTTTCTTTGTTTGTTACCGCGGTCTTCCTCTATACGTTTAGCGAATTCGTTCCCGGCACATCCTCATATTTTACAAAGCTGTTTCAAGAACGTTCAAAGAAAGAAAACCATCTGTCAACAAGAAATCAAANAAAGTGGACGTTGAATCCGCCGTGCGGAATGAAAGCGCCGTTTACGGCGACATCTTAAGGCTGAACTACACAGAATCCTATTCACTACTTGCCTTCAAGACTATGAGCTCTTTGTGGCTTGCTTCTGTCATTCTCTCTTTTCCAATTCCCCATAATACACTCTGTTTGCCCCCCAAATTTTGCATAAACCATTGTTTTTAAATGCTCCTGGGAGTATTACATTTTCCCAAGAGCATTTTAAGACATTAAGTTATGCAAAATTTGGGGGGCAGACAGAGTGTATTATGGGGAATTGGAAAATAGTCAATGGACGTTCAGTTTATCGTCAAAGTGGACGATGACGTATATTTGCACGTTCCTAAGATGATTTGGTGGCTGAAAACGTCTTCTATACCCGAGAAGCTATATTCTGGCGCTGTGGTAAACGGGGGAAAAGTTATTAGAAATCCAAAGCATAAATGGTTCGTTAGTGAAAAACTTCTGAACGACACTTTGTTTCCTCCATACTGTAACGGGCCCTTTTATATTTTATCTAAAAGCACTCTTCTCGAATTACTTAAGGTATCCTCAAATGAAGGCCTGACACCTTTTCCTTTAGAAGACGCCTATATAGGAATAGTGGCGAAAAGAGTTGGAATCGCGCCCTTACAGCTTTTAGGAAAACATGTCCTCATTGCCGGGCCATGGGAGAGAATCGATTGGGAAGGTAAAAAACTTAACGATTTCTTCGCATTGGGACATGCCTTGTCCATTGAACGAATGTTCAAACTTCATGCAAGATTCACTAACTAAAGACAACTGACGAAAAGGCAACGATTGCCTTGTTCAGTAACACCTTTAAGTGTCAATAGCAACATGTTAATGATCGCCGTTAAATATGATAACATGATTTAGAGTAGTACAAAAAATACATGTGCATGTGCTCCTCTCTAATTTTCAATATCGTCATGGGCTACTGAATGGGTAGATATTTCTTAAAATAGTTTTTCACGTTTATTGAAAACATCAATTGAACTTGTAATTCTTTCCATGCGGTTTTCATGTATCTTATCAAACCTAGGGTATTGGTCTTTCTAAAATGCAGGCATTCATTCGTTCATTCAAATAAACGAAACTAACACGAAAAAAGAGGATAACATTTCAAAAGAAGGAAATAAACGTTACGGACAGAAAGAGGCAAAACTTTTTGTGACAACAGGAACAAATTTACACGTAAAAACCAAACTGTAAACAATATTCGTGCTATTTTACCTTTAAACATAGTGGGTTAATATCCAGTAACAACCAGTTTGTTCTGCTAAAATGCACTTGTAATTCAACCATTGTTGTAAACACGTAAACACAGACTGAGTTTGCCCGAGGGTCCTAAAAAACACAGAAACATCCAGTAAGGCTAACGTAAACATCATGATGCTGCTCTTCAGGGTAATCAAACTTGTCCGGATTTGTCTTTGTTCGTTACCCCGGCCGTCCTTTATACCCTTAGCTCATTTTTTCCCGGCAAATCTTCATATTCTACAAAGCTGTTAGTCAGGTACGAGAAAGATAGATGATAGATTAGATTAGATAGATAGTTTATTCACCTTAAAAAACTTGCAGTCAAAGAGCTAAATTGCGATAAGGTTTAGAAATAAATGCAATAATTTACAACTGTAATAATTTACGACTAATAAAAGAAAGATGATCCGGCATTATTTACAATTCAAATTTAAAACTGTTGTATGCAAAATCACAAATTCAAATGCATGCGTCAAGTTCCTGTATACAATAAGAAACAAAATTATATCTAGGTCTCAATTACTGTAAACATAACTTCCCAATAGTGACCAACATCCATTTTCTCCTAACAATATCCATACAATGTCAAGAAATAAGGTTATGAATTTAACAAAATGATCGCGTAAGGGAAAATGCTTTGATCTTTATCAAATTATCTCCATTCATTATGAAAGAAATGTATAGAAATCAATTTAAAGAATTGGGGCTTAAAGGGTTAAAAGAAAACTATTCTTGCATCTTTCAGTTTTACACTTTGGACGAATAAATGTTATGTGTTCTCTCATAGAGTAGCTTCACGGGCACCCAACGACAGTTTTCTGTAAAATATCTATCGGAGAGGCAAAAATTGCCTAGAATTTTCTATACTTTGAGGAAGGCTAAGAACTTCTAGGTGACCGTTCCATTCATGTACAATTTTCGAAGCTTAATTGCGACGAGTTTCTAAGATAATATAGTAGCTGAAAAAGACATCTTTATCCGAGAAGCCATAACCGGGTGCAGTACAAGAAGGAAATATTAAATAATATATAAGAAATTCAAAGCATAAATGTTTCATTAGTAAGCAAACAATTTTCTAAACGAGACTTTGTCCCCTCCATTCCTATTTTTGATACCCTGTTTAAGACAATAAACCGAAAAAATTTTCGTCATTTGTGCTTGTAAAAATTTTGCTGCTTATGGTCCAAGAAAAGATATCCTGTTTAAGACAAAAATTGATAAATCGATACCCTGATTAAGACAAAAAAATGATAAATTCGATACCCTGGTTAAGACAAAAATCCCGAAAAATATACCCTGGCTGGCCGCGCGTCCCCATTAAGCCCTTATAAGGGAGTACCCTCCCCCCCGGGTTGCCGGGCCAAAAGGTGGTGGGGAGATGGAAAACTTTTAAACAAGTCCTTCGCACTTAGACACGGGTTGTCCATTGAGCCAATGTTCAAATTTCAAGCAAAACTTACTAACTTGACCTTAATTTAACTGTAAAGATTACTAAAAGGCAATGATCAGCTCCCTCAGTAACACCTTTAAGTGTCAATAGAAAAATGATAATGATCATCGAAAAACATGATATAAACATTGTTAGAGTAGTCCAAAAAATGGGTTGCATGTGTTTCTTTATTATTTCCAATATCGCGTTGGCTGTCAAATGGTCACTTAATTCTTACATTTTGCTGTTATTTTTTCTTTCAATTTTCCGAGTATTTCAATACTGAAACAAGTTGTTATTTCTTAAAATAATGTGGCGCATTCCGGTTAATGCTTAATTGAACTCGAGCTTATTTCCATGCATCAGGCAGATTTCATGTAAAGATTAGTTAAACTTATCGAGTCTATGAGCCTATTGAAACCCAGGCATCATTTCAATAAAGGAAACTAACACTATGTATGGCTATGTATGGCTATGTAGGGCTATGTAGGTCCATGTAGGGGTATGTATGGCTATGTATGGCTATGTATGACTGTGCATGGCTGTGTATGGCTATGTATGGCTGTGTATTGCTATGTATGGCTATGTAGGGCTATGTGGGGCTATATAGGGCTATGTAGGGCTATGTATGGCTGTGTATGCCTATGTAGGGCTATGTATGGCTATGTAGGTCTATGTAGGGCTATGTATAGCTATGTATGGCTAGCTGTGTATGGCTATGTATGGCTGTGTAGGGCTATGTATGGCTATGTAGGGCTATGTATGGCTGTGTATGGCTATGTATGGCTATGTAGGGCTATATAGGGTTGTGTATGGCTGTGTATAGCTATGTAGGGCTATGTAGGGCTATATAGGGCTATGTAGGGCTATGTATGGCTATGTATGGCTATGTAGGGCTATGTAGGTCCATGTAGGGCTATGTATGGCTATGTATGGCTGTGTATGGCTATGTATGGCTATGTACGGGTATGTAGGGCTATGTAAAGCTATGGAGAGCAATGTATACCATATATTAACTAACGGGGAACCACTATATGATGCTTACACCACGTACCTACCGAAATGGTCTACCGGCGAGAGGCACTGGGATTACTGGGATGCCTGTGATTTCGTTTATCCGCTACCTACCCCACCCTCAGTAAGTTCTTTAGATATCACATGACGTTTGCCTCGCGAAGGATTTTCAGGATGGCGTCTCAGTCACAGGGAATTCAACAGCTCTTACAGGCAGAAAAAAAGGCCGAGACCATGGTCTCTGAAGCTCGAAAACGTACGTAAATTCACTTCAATGTCTAAATTTTTTAAGTGGTGATTGTTAGTTAGTATGATTGAAAGGCTGCAAAATTTGGGCGGTCTTCTGGTTCAGACTGAAACATCTTTAACTTGTATGTCTCGATTTATTTCTCGATTCAAAGCCGTTTTGACTGGTTTTAAACAGAGGAAGTCCCGCATTAAACTTGTACTGTTGTTTTGGGTAACTGCAGTATACAATGAAATTTTATTTGACGTTTAAATATGCTCAATTCCTATTTTCCTTCAATTGGACACAGAGTCGTTATCAAGAAGAAATGCATGGTTGTCTTCATCAAAGTGTAATGGTTTATTGGTTTATCGGGTTATAATTTAGTTTTGTGTGCACATTTAGTCGTTTGCGGTTGTTAGTTTCAAGTTGCCACATCTTAATACAAGATGGAATACACCAGTACGAGTAGGGAGTGTTATAAAAACTCAGAACTCAGTGCCACGAAAAATTTAGACTTTCAGGTGTCAAGGGTGTGAGTTTTTCAGGGGTCTGAGTTTTCAAGACACCCAACAGTCTGGGTTTTTTACAGGGTCTGAGTTTTCATAACAACAAGTAGGATCTTTCAAAGTTTGTGTGCACCATAAAATTACTAATCACTTCAATCTTATTCCTGAGGCAGGAGCCCATAACATGGAGCGTACCATTCCCTTCTTAGTCTACCGTCAGAGTTTTCACAGATCACCTTATTTTTAGCATCAAAATATTTTGTTACAAGGTTATACAGGGTCTTTTCCATGTATTTTACTATCACTGGGATGAAGAATGTTGTATACTATTAAAAACTAAATAATTTGGATCATGCAATTCTAAAGCTCTGATTGGCTTAGCCATCATGGTATATGAGCCATTATACCATGCTCTCCAAATATGGTTACTGTATGCATCTGGTCAAAATTAGAAATAAGCTGAAAATCGGTTGTTTTTACAGACAAAGTCGGGAAGAATTCTCGATAATTATTTTGGGGCCTTTTTTTGTTGTTGTTGGATATGAGATGCTTATAACCAAAAGGGCACTACACGCCTTGTTGGCTATCTTTGATCTCATATCTAAGTGGCACTCATGGAATATTGTTAATTATTAAAAACTGAATCATTGGATAATGCAATTGTAGCATTTTGATTGGCTTAGCCGTTATGGTATATGAGCTATTATACCATGCTCTCCATATATGGTTGGTGTACGTGTCAGTTTAAAAGTGGAAGCTAGCTGAGATTTTTTATCGCGAAGGATAGAACGGCGCCGGAAGCAAATCGTTTTAATTCATTTCTGAGAATACTAGAAATGCAATTTCATCGAAAGAAAAAGGACAAAAACAAACAAAAAAGCCAAAAGAGCTTGTTTGAAAGTTTGTCGAAAAACACATGAAACTAAAGTACCTTGACCAGCTATGAAAGAAGACAAGTGTTGTTTCTTCATGATCGCGAAGCCATTCGCCGATCGAGTCACTCGCCGATAGATAACTGAAGCTTGTTTATCCGACATCAAGAATATAAATCACAAGTAACCAGCTACAAATACAGGCTATGCAGCCATTCACTAGAGCAATCAAAGCGGCAGTATAGCTTCTTTTCTCGTTCAGCAAAACCAGCTTGTGGCTTCAAACAACTTCATAACATTAGCGACCGAGGTAATACCAGTAGTTTTTCTCTGTTGTTCTTACTTTTATAACTGCACCGAAAATCCAAATTCACAGTAATTTCGACGGCTGTCACTTAAAAATTCTTTTCCTCCACATTATCTGCAAGGTTTTTTTAGCTGTTCTGCTGTGTAAAATCCTAGAATCCTGATGAGTTTTTAAAAAACTAATGTTCATCGCTACAATGTTTTGATTTTTCATTCATGCAGTCCAGGCGAGTCCATTCGCGCGTTGACAGTTTTGATAGACGTGTGACATGTGAATAGCGGAAGTCCCTTGTCTTTTCCGGTTTGTTCTAGTTGAGGCGATTCAACGAGATTTTGTGGGCGTTTTTAATAAAACAATTATTCCACTCGGGCTTGTTGGATATGAAATGATTATAGCCAACACGGCGCTACGCGCCTCGTTGGCTATCTATCATCTCGTATCTAAGGCGCCCTCGTGGAATAATTGTTAATTATATCAAGGACATTACTAGCATTTCAAGGTTTCACTGTATGCACTTGTTCTCGATTTTGTACGTGTAGTCAAATCTATAGCATGTCCTAATGATGCAGTGCTACTAAAGGGTATTTTAAAATGAACTAAGATGACATGTCTGAAATGAATTTTATGTATATTTTGTTTAGGGAAGACACAGAAACTGAAAAGGGCTAAAGAGGAAGCTCAAGCTGAAATCAGGAATTATAGGGAAGAACGTGAAAAGCAGTTTGTAGAGTATCAGAGAGAAGTAAGTCTTATGCATGGAGCTTACACGTACGCACAAATTTAAGCAGTAACTATGTCAGTGATTATGGCCGCAAAAATGTTGCGAAAAATAATATGGATGTTCATTAGCAATGCCGTGTAGATATATTTACATGTAAGTTGGCACATTAATTTTTGGAATGTTGCATTAATAAAATTTAACTGCACAATGGAGTAGATTGTTATTCTCAGCTTGTGCAAAACATTGGCTCACAAGTAAATTAATTCAAGATCATGTGGTGAATTTGTTGATTAAAAAAGTCTTTTTTTTCTATATTTTTTGGAGTTTTGAATCTGTCTCTGAGAAATTTCAGCAGTCACTATGTCATTGATTATGGCACCAAAAATGTTGCTTAAAAATAATTTGGATGTTTATTAGCAATGCCTGTGTAGACATATTTTAGTTGCATATGAATTTTTTTGAAAATTGTGTTAGTTTGATTGCGCAATGGAACAAACTGCTACTCTCAGCTTGTATGCTTTACGTGGATGATCATCAGCTCAGGATAATTTGTGCAAAACATTGGCTCACAGTTCAAGATCATCTGGTGAATGTGATAATATAACAGTTAACTTTTTATATATTTTTTGGTGTTTTGAATCTCTCTCTAAATTAATTTTAGCTTGCTCCTGGATGATACACTGACATTGTGCAAACCACGTTGGAACAATAGGCAAATTTTGATATAATTATTAAAATATTATTCTTTCCTGACTCTGAGGCTTAGAGAAGAAACAAAGAAATCATTTTATTATGAGGTCCAGGATATACGTATTTGTTTGTCAAATACTCATTCTATTCGAAAATAAGCTTTACTCTAAACTCTCTTTCTTCCCACCCAGTGGCATAAAATGAATGGGTAATGCTAATACCTTAAAGTCATAGTTAAAATCAGCCATCTCCCCACCTCCAAACCCCACCCTAACCCTTGTAGTTACTAATATTCCCATCTGTTTTATACAGGGTTTTTATTTTATGCTGGCTTTAGGGTCATCTAACTGTATGTATCTACATTTACTGTGAAACTCGCAAAACTGTGAACACCAGAAATATTTATGGAATGTTATTGTGTTGTGAGGAAATAGCCAATAAGGTGTGATAAAACTTCACTGCAAATAGCAATGGTAATTCCTGGAATTTTTCAGGTGTTCCCAATTTTGTGAGTTTGAAAGTAATAGCTATATGTACATGTAGCTGGCACTCATGATAATAGCTTTTTTTTATCCATAGCACATGGGCTCTAAAGATGATTTCCAGGCTAAAATTGAGGAGCAAACAACTGTTCGACTTCAGCAAGTCAGTGACAGTGTGGACCAGAATAAGAGCAAGGTGATAGAAAGGCTTCTGAGTCTTGTGTACGACATCAAACCTGAACTTCACGAGAATCTAAGGACATAGAAGAACAGAGAACATGTATACACAAGAACCCTTTTAAAATTAAATTTGTCAGTCATTACATGTCAGAAAGGTGTATGGAAATTATTGAATACATAGTAAATCTTTTTCATGGCCAAATGGTAAGCAGTGAATAGAATTCTTCTGGACAGGAAATTTGCAATGGTGACTGTAAGCCTCCTTTCAGGATTGTCATTTAGAGTGATTAATACTTTGTTATAGCTAAGCTGGCTTGAATCTTTATTGTTGAGAAATGTTTTACTTTTACTACCATAGGTACAATAGATTTGTTGTATTAGAATTGGTAATGTATCAGGGAATGAACTTTAAATCTTATTTATGAATGATACAATTTTAAAAGTTAATTATCTCTGTGAACAATCTGTGAATTATGCTACATTGACGTACCATACACTGTAAAATGTAGTTGAATTGTTAAGTGAACTACTTTATGCTGGAAATAGAAAATAAAACTGCAATAAATAAGAAGAGTTGCCATGGTAATGTTCAAATAGAGAGTTACATTTGTTGTTGTGGTGTTTAATATCAGGAATTCACTTACTTGAATGCAGTACAGTGGAAGCTTGCTCTAGGGACACCCACTTAATATGTTCACCTATATTCATGTATATTGGACAGTTTTGTTGGTTCTGACAGAAAGCTTCTTATGCTTTCTATAACATTAACCTGCTCAATATGGACACCAGTAAATAAGGACGATGGACACTTTTCTGTGTCCCTAGTTACAAACTCTCACATATCGTCAACCTCACTTTACGGACACTGGTTACCTGCACACTGTCTACACTGTATTTTCATTGTCACAATCATGTCAATGTGCTAATTGTAGACATTGTCCTAGTTAAAGTGATGACAGATTTCTATGAATTAATACAATTATTTTATTGTTTAAAAACAGTAGAAAAATAGCATGAAATGTTGGAAGTCTGTCTTTCTTCCCATGTTGACCCTTGTAGGGAAGCCTTTAAACAAAATTTTCTGCCTCTTACTTCACAAGTTTGCCTTCTTTGGCTGTATGTCTGTTTAGTCTTAATGTCAACAAATCATGTGTCCATGACATTTTTCCTGAGAGCACGCTTAATACAGACACTCAGATAATACAGACACTACTGCATGTCTCCCCAGTGTATCTATTAACTGGGTTCCACTGTATTTTTGTAGGATTTATTTGCACGAGTGTGCTTTTCAAAAAGTATCAAGATTATGTAATTTAAATTTTTTGACAAACACATTAGTGAAAATAAATTCCAAATTGAATGAGCAAAGTCATAGGATTTTTTTTACCCCTTAGTAGTATACATGAAGAAACTTAAGAGCTGGATCAAAATTTGTCCCTACAACAGTCCGACAGTGCAATTCAACACAAATGGGCTCACACAACATCTCACCACTTTTCCCAGTCTAGGTTCAGAATCTCAACATTTTTCTGCCTTGGGAGTTGACAAGTCTGGAGAGTTACCCATATTATGTTCACCTGTGTAGCTGTGTAGCTATGAAAGATGGATATGCAGTCACCTATATTAGACAGTCAGCCTTAGGGAATATCCAACCGACTGCTTAATACAGGTTGACTGTTTAACTCAAGTTTGACAAACTTATGAGTTTATCAAGAAAATAAAGATATTCACAAAGTAAAATATCCATCTAACAACAAATTGTTCTCAAAGTGTTTCTATCTCTTCTAGTGCAAAAGAAAATAAAATAAAAGACCACTAAATGCCATGCACTGTGTATTTCATGATTAGACTGGTACATGTTCAGTACATTCAGACAAAGTGACTGTTTAATAGAAGTGACAACAAAAAATAACTCTTTTGGACCTCAGACAAGGGGACTGCGACCAGTAACTGTTAATGAAGGTGACCAGTTTCCGGTGCTTTGGTAAGTGACTGCTAGTTAATGGAGGGTGACTACCTAATACAAGTTCGCTTAATACAGGTTTCACTGTAAGCTAAAACTGCTTTTAACGTAACAATGTTCTCAAAAGATACACAATTCCAAGCCTTGTCTGTTTATAATGTAGGGCATCTAATTACAAATCACGTGTCACATGTGTGTGACCTCACAGGTAAATACGATCCATACCTTCTATTTTCTATGTGTGTAGCCAATTCAAGTTTTTTCCACATGAAGCAACCCTCCAGCAGCAAAACTATAAACCTCACTTTGTGATGAAAGAGAACAGAAAATATATTGGCTTACTGGCCTGGTCGCAATAACTATAGGTCTTGAATAACAACATATTTAGCTTGTATTACTTTTCCTTTCTTACATCCAAGTGAGTGATCTTTATCAGAGCTAACAAACTTTTATTGCATAACCCTTTGATTGTGTAGCAAATTTCAAACTGCAAACAAAATAATAATATACATATACTTTTTCAAAAATCAGAACATCAATGGCTAAATGGTTTACGGTATGCTAAGAAAGGGACTTCCACAAGTCAAGCTAAAAGTTTTTCCTCAAGCGCAAGGCATGAGTAGGAGATTTCTTTCAGTTTTCAGCAGAGAAAACGAGCAAGAGAGCATGCTGGGAACTACTACCAGAACAGGAAATGAGAAGTGAAGGACTTTGAGAGAGTCTAATGACTATGCAAAGGCTACAGCTGTGCGGTTTTCCATTGGTGAAACCACTAGTAAACAAAAAATGCATAACTGTTTACATGAAGTATAATACATGTAATTATAGTATCTGTAAAAACTGAAACATCTTTAAGTTCATTTACATGCATTACTTATAATATCGTGGTGGGGCTGGGTATCCTGGTTGAGGTTGGTATGGAGGTGGTGCTTGGCCCACAGGATAAGGACCTGCTGGGCGATATGCCTGCTGTGGGTAAGGTGCAGCTGGAGGGATTGTAGTGACTGTTGCACCCGGTGGGACACTCACTACTTGCACCCCACCTCCTGGGGGTGATACATATGTTGTTGTTTGGTATGCAACTGGTCTTTGGACAACAGCACCGCGCTGGGCAGGACGACCAAACAGGGCACCACATGCTCCTTCCACAATATTAAATGCACCAGTGACAGCTTTATCAGCAACTCTGAATACTGGGTCGCTTGGATCTACAGTTGGGTTGGGTCTGCCATAAGGATAGGGATTACCAGCGACGGCAGGATTCACTGGAGGTGGGGGCTGAGGAGGTACCATGGTAGCTCGTCGTTGCATGATATTTCTCACTCGCTCCCGTTCTTTGATATAAGGAAAAACGTCGTTGAGCACCATGAAGTTTAGTGGATCCACCACCTTAACCGAAACTAGCTCTAACGCGGAAACTTTGTTGTTATCGAAGTTGAACGCTCGAAGCATGGGAATTAAACCAGCACAGGTCGCTGGCAGCATCTTGCCAACACAAGCTTGGAGTGCTTTCAAGCGGCCATCATCAAAACTGAACTCTCGCATTAATTCGCCAACTTGTTCGGCGTAGAAATTTCCCTGTGCATAAGCAATGGCTTTCACTTTGTCGTCTTTGAAAGGAAGACGCTGAACTTCCCCCTTGACGATTCCAAATGATGTAGGATCCATCTAGTTCAAACGTTCACGCGTCGTAACTTACTACGTCGTACCTCTCGTTTAAAAAGAGTGTTGAACGTCAGAGATCAATCTCGAAAATGAATTACTTGTATATGGCGCTTTAGCAAAGTGCTTACATCATATGCCACAAATAGCGATTATTAGCGCAGGTGTGACTTGACAATAACACAATGAAACACCCACACACTCGACCCTTCAATTCTTCTACCATTTTGACCGTGAGACTTATTGACGATGTGAGACCTAAGTACTAAAATATATCGGTAATCCTCGGCTGATATTCGATTAGAAACCGAAGGAAAACGGAAAAACGAAAGTTTCAAAACATGGCAGACGAAATAACTTCACAAGCTCCCTGACCCTCTCTATTTACGCACAACGGTAGTATTTCAAGGTTCAAAGAAAAATGGAATCGCAAAATTTAAGAACCCCTTTGCGAAAAGTTTTCAAGCACAGTGACTTCAAGTCAAAACTTCAGAATGAAGCTGTAAAGTGTATTCATGGAGGTAGGTCGCGGAGCATTGAAACTTCATAACTTTCAATTTTCTCTTAAGCTAAAATCTGAAAGTTGTTTTTTTGTTTTTCTGTGAAAGTTTAAAAGGAACAGTTTTAGCCTTTGTAATTAACAAATTATTCAAACCAGAACCAGAATTTACAAGCTTAAAGATAATTTATGGTATAAAACTCTGCCATCAGATTGGTGTAAGATCCGGGGGGAGGGGGGAGGGGGTGCTTTTGGTGGGGTGGTGAGTAATACGACTAAGGAGGGAGGTGAGTTTAAGAGGGACCTAATCTCCCAAAATTGAAGGCCATATCAAGGATTTGTCTTTAAAGAGGCTGGCATTAATGGTACATGAAGACTCACATGGGTGGTTCAAGCATGTTTTTTCTATTTTTTCAAACAGGAAAACAAGATGTTTTTGTTTCAATGCCCACTGGGTCTGGAAAATCGCTCTGTTACCAGCTACCGGCAGTCTTGGCTGAGGGAATAACTATTGTATTTTCTCCACTTATTGCCCTCATTCAAGATCAAGTGTCACACTTAAAGTCCCTCTCCATCTCAGCCGAAACACTTAACTCAAAACTCCCTGCTGCTGAAAGAAAACAAGTTTATGGTGAACTTGAAAAGCTGAACCCCTCTATCAAGCTTTTATATATCACACCTGAGCTTGCTGCAACGCCTGGATTTCAGAGAGTTTTAAAATCTCTGCACAGGAGAAAGCTACTGTCGTTATTTGTGGTGGATGAGGCCCATTGTGTGTCACAGTGGGGACATGACTTTAGACCTGATTATTTAAAGCTTGGTTCACTACGGACACAGTTTCATGACGTTCCCTGGATAGCGCTAACAGCTACGGCCACTCCACATGTCCAAACAGATGTTCTTACATCTCTTCATTTACACAAGCCGATAGCGATCTTTAAAACCTCCTGTTATCGTCCAAATTTGTTTTATGATGTGTGGTATGTAGTTTGAGAGCCTTAACATAAAATGTAACATTTAGCTGTGGCCAGAATGGAGGCAAAAGTATCTTGGTCAAGGCCTTCAGGTAGATTTGTGGGCACAAGCAAGAGGAGGGGAAGGGAATAAAAGTAATGCTTTTAGGTGTGTTATTGTTCTGTCTCTGTCGCCCGCACAATAAACACAATAAATGACACATCAAAAGGTGTCAAAAAATGTATTGTTGGCGAGATAACTTCAGAGAATTCCAGTCCCCTGGACTTAAGCAAAAATTGGGATGCAAGTGGCAGAAAAACAGTACAAAAACATGCTGTTTGATCTTGCTAATAGAGATGCAATCACTGATGCATGAGGTCTTGCTGAAACAAAATCACCAATGGTCAGCATACCATATTCTTGTGCTCTGCTTTGCAAAGTGGGGTGCCAGATGCTGGAGATTTTAACTGCCTTGCTCTAACTACTTCCATCACAAGCATAAATCACTTATCATGCCTCACATGGTACAAATCAACCAGTAAGAACTTTCTTTTTCCAGATGAACAACTTGAAGAGATAACCTATCTTTGGGTGCTTTTTTTCTCTCTTCCCCCCCCCTCCCTTGCATGTCTTGCACTGTTACATTAGTACCCCCAAACCTGTCTGAGTGCCCCCAATTATGCCTGTTGCATGAAGGCTTCGACAACCAAGGCAGTTACCTCATTATAAAAAAAAAGTTGTGAAGTTTCTTCTGTGTTATAAAGAACAGTGAAAGGATACTAGCAAATCATGCGTAGCAGGTCAATGCTTGTATTATTGTGAGTATTATGAATAAAGTGTTGTGTTTATAACCCTCTTAAATGCAATTTTTTTATCTTTTTTTCCCGTCTCAAGTTTCAAGGAACTTCTTGATGACCCTTATGCTGATCTTAAAAGTTTTGCTGAGTCAGCATTATCAGAGCAGGATAGCAGTAATGGAGAGAAGGTAATAGATTCGCTTGCTATATTTGATGTGTATATTTGCATAGGCTGTCATTATTTCTTCTCAATAATTCGCTACTTTTTCCATGTTAAAGATAATAAATTCTTAAACTATTTTTTTTCTGTAGGGAAGTGGAATTATTTATTGTCGTACTCGAGATGCTTGTCAAGAAGTAGCTTCAAGACTGAGTAGAAAGGGACTTGCTGCAAAGGCTTATCATGCTGGTAATTTACCATTTAATTGAAATGATGAACACATGATATTCACTGACATCTTCATCATTGCATCTTCACCTTTCCCGGTTATATTACCAACCAATTTATTTTTTTTAATGATTACCAGCTCCACGTTGGCTTGCTAGCTTAACTGGTTAGAGCCCTGCACTGGTTTTACAAAGGTCAGGGTTTGACTCCTGGCAAGCCTGAATGTTCTTGCACTTTTTTGAGTCTTTATTTTAATAGGGTTTAATAGAGTCAGGGTGTACCAAAAATGTTTTCAGCCCCATAACCTCATGCTAGAGTACTGAAATAAGCTGCCACAGGTCTAGACATTTTAAATTAAGCTGCCTGACAAGCGAAAAAAGTTTGTCAGCTTGCAGAGAGGCAGTGTTACAGATTTTCTCCTCGAATTATGAAGGTTCATGGGTCTCTCGCCATTTCACAAAGTCATCCCGGCACAACATTGGAAAGATGTTAGTGAAGTATTTTAAAATGTGGATTCATTAGATTTGCTTACTGATGAAATCCCTGTGTATAGCTTCGGGTAATCTCCTCAGAACACGGGCAAAGGGGAACCTTGTTCCTAAAGGCCAGGTGACGATACTTGTGATCAGGGTAGAGGTCTAACCTACAGCCTTTTTTTATAGCAAGCAACTGCAATAAACAAATGTAACCAACAAAACAAGTTAATTAATTTATCTGCTTTTCTTATTTTCACCTTATCACCCTGGTATTCAACGGAATTTAGTTTCAACTTTGTATTTGTGAATCTTTCCTGTGTACATGTTCAGGTATTGTATACTTACAAGTATATTGTTCAACTCCACAGGCCTTACACAAACAAAACGTGATGAAATCCAACAGGAATGGATGGATGGCAAAGTCCCCATCATTGTTGCGACAATAAGTTTTGGTATGGGAGTAGACAAAGCATCTGTGAGGTAAATTACTATGAAGTCTTTTTCGCAAAATACTGAGATTCATACAAGTTGTATGAAGAGGGAAGATTTTGGCATGCAATTAATGATCGTGACAATGACGTTTATATTTTACTTAAAGAGAGTACAACTACCAGAATTCGTTTAGTGGCTTTTAGTGGGTTGCTTTTAATTAAAATTGATCAGTCCTGAGATTTAAACAAAAGTAGCTGGATACAGACTTAGTAATTTTCACGGCAAAACAACAAACTGAAGGATTGTGTTGGTTGAACTAAGCTTATAAATGTCGCCATCATGCGAATGGTTTACTGAGGTATACCGGATGATAGATACAGATTTTCTGAATTGCAAATTGTGAACTCAGGATTTCTGTTTAATCTAACTCCACTCCATGACTAAAAGTAACTCTAAGTAAGAATAGCCGGCCGCTTTTGTTCAAGTGTTAAAAACTTTCTTTTTAACCTGTAGGTGTGATTATTGGATTGGCTATTCTATACCACTGTTTACTTACAGCTCACAAAGAGCTGCTCTAACTGATGTTAGTTTAGAAACTGATTTCTGTAAAATTCCAAAAATAAACATCAGGGCCCAGTTGTTCAAAAATTTGGATAACGCTATCCTCTGGACAAATCTCTACCCAGTGGATAGCGTGAATGGTTTCCCTAATACTTATCTGCTGGAAAATGATTTATCCGGTGGACAGCGCTATCCAATGTTTGAACAACTGTGGCCAAGTCCTATATCTTTTAGAGGCCTTGTTTAGCAGCGTATTTTCGTAGGGACTTCTTTACTGTGGAGAGGTTTATTATTAGTGGGAAATTCGCGTTTTAATGTAGGCTGGGGTTATATTGGAAGAAATGTGTGTCATGAATTTTCGATAAACTGATCGTAATCTCAGGACATTGATTTCAAACCCCAATTGTAAAGCGTTCAAAATGGCAATGGAATACTGTAACAATAGTGCCCTCAACAACATCAATAACACACCATTTGTTCAGTTCAGTTTGTAGTTCATAGCGTAGTTACTGTAGTTCATACGGTATTATACATTCATAGAACCAGTCAAACGTGTGAAAACTCTTATCCGGGCCTCCCCCATACAGTTCGATATGCCATGGTTTAGTTCTAATGCTCATTGGGACTTATATACGGATTTGTTTTTTTAAAGGAGGCCTCTGAGGGGCTTATTTTTGGAATTTACCACATGTATTCTGGCCAATCATTACGCAGGCTGACAGTCAAATAAGCCAATAACATCTCAAACTAGCAATGTATTTTTGCCAAGCGTGGTGAAACCTACAGTTTAAGCTTTATTTTTATGCGCACACAAGCTCCTGGGATCTTAACCCGTGACTCATGCTTCACGCTTCTCGCGGAAAAACCTAAGTCAGCAAGTCATGATTTATTCCGGGTTT